CAGATGTAATTGGTGGCACTGACTGGGGAAATGGGCACTGTGAGCCTGACACAGAAGCTGGCAGCAGTGGCAGACAACTAAGTGCATTTACATTAGATAGAAAAAAAAAATCCAAAAAAAGCATACCCTTATCCCTAACCTAGCTATGCTTTTCCCTATCTTATGAACAGCAGCTACACTTTCCCTCCTCTTACTAAGCATGCAGCTTGAGAATGAATCTAAAATGGATGCTGTCCAGTAGGTGGGAGGGTCTGCTAGGGAGGCTGTGCTGCTAATTGGCTGGAATGTGTCTGCTGACTGTGAGGTACAGGGTCAAAGTTTACTCAATGATGACGAATAGGGGGCGGGTCGAACCGCGCATATGTTCGCACGCCGTGGCGAACGCGAACATGCTATGTTCGCCAGGAACCGTTCGCCGGCGAACCGTTCGGTACATCACTAGTAATCTTTTATGTAATTATATGTATTTATCTATTTATATATATTTGCGGTTATTTGTATTTTATATATAGATAGATATATATAGAATGTCATTCTAAGTGTATTTTGTTACCAATATATATATTTTAATAACAAAATACAGTTAGAATGAAATGACATATATATATATATATATAATTTATATTAAATTTTGTTTCAATATTTTATTTATTTTATTATTTTATTTATTTATTATTGTAATTATACGTAAATATATATATGTGTATATATCTATTATATATGTAATATATACACTTATTATATATATGTAACGTCATTCTAAGTGTATTTTAATATTAATATATATACTAATATTAGTATTAAAATACACTACGTATGACGTTATATATATATATAATATGTATATATATAATATTATATATTATGTATATATATGTATATAATACATATATTATATATATATATATAAAAATAAATTTTAATTAATTTTACACATGTTTATTTTTATTTTTTTTACTACTTCCCACCAGCAGGGGGACTGTCTGATATTTTAGACAGTCCTCCTGCTGGCAGATCCACAGCCAGCTATAGGGGGCCATGTGATCGCTCTTTGAGAGCGATCACATGGCCTCCACTTGCCGGAGGAGGGCTGCGTGGGTGGTCAGGCAGCCCTCCAGAAGAGGATCGCGGCAGAGGTGAGTATGCCGGACCTCCCCTGGGCTTAAGCCGTTACGGCGTTCTATGCCACCGCAACGGCTTTAAAGCCCTTTAAAGCCGTGATGGCATAGAACGCCGTAACGGAGTTAAGGGGTTAAAATAACTAGCTTATATATATATGAATGGCACTGAGATGTATGAAGTTATGACAGTCCATAGAAAGTAAAGGGGATTTGATAAAGCACAAAATAACAAATTAACCTAAAAACCGAAAAAGAAAAAACCACAAGGAAAATAGTAAAGTAAATGAAAAAACAAAACTAAAACTAAAACATAAGCATAAGCTAAAACCAAAGTATATACAACAGAAAGCCCATAAATGGGACTTGGTACAAAAAAAATATACATCTACGGGTTTACTAGCGGACAGTTGTAAGCTGACTCAAGGAGAGGGGGCATGGCCGGAAGTGGAACGAGATGGTCGCATGAGCTGAGAGCTCTGCAACACGGGTGTGGATAACTCTAAAAGGCATTGATGTTTGGAGGAAAAAAAGGTGATTACCGCTCAATATGTACAAAACTAAAAAGTAACAAGAAAAGGCTGAAAAGGCAAAGAAGGCTGAGAAGTTGAATTTCTTTGGCCAGAAACGACTCAAGCCTTCGAAACATGTGGCACAAGGAAAACAAGATGGCGACGATGGGACCAGAGGCAGTAGCTCACGATTGGATTGCGAGGTAATAACGGATGAAGAACCTCTCCCTACAATCATCTTACAGAAATCATTGGACAAGTTGTCACAGGCACTGATCTCCACATGGCAAACCAGTGTGGAGGGCCTGAAGAAAGACATAAAGGAATTGGGATCTTGCACAGCACAGGTTGAAGCTAAAATGGAAGAAATAGTGGAAGCTCATAACTCTGCTGCTGATAAAATTAAGCAAATGGAGATCCAACTTACTTATTATGAGCAGAAAATAATGGATTTAGAAGATAGATCACGACACAGTAATCTTAGAATTCGAGGAGTTCCAGAATCAATTACAATAACAGAATTACCTAATTATATACTCAAGCTTTTTAAAACCCTGGCTCCTGAAATATCAACAGATATGTTTTTATTGGATCACCTGCACAGGGTTTCTAAACCTAAGCATAAACAAGCTACTTTACCCAGAGATGTGCTTCTTAAAGCACATTATTTTCACATTAAAAATCTGCTCCTGAAAAAGAGTCGTAACAAATCTGCTACCTGAGTATGCCGAGATCTGACTGTTCGACGAAATATCAGCGGCAACTTTAAAGCAGCGGAGCTCATTTCAGCAGGGTAACAGAAGTTCTCCGCACAAATCAAATGTCTTACCAGTGTGGGTCCCTACACGCCTAGTGATCACCAGGAATGAACTTCTACAACGATAACATCGCCAGAAGACAGACTAGCACTTTTGAAAAGCTGGTATGTTCCACTGAGGAGTTCCAGAATCAATTACAACAACAGAATTACCTAATTATATACTCAAGCTTTTTAAAACCCTGGCTCCTGAAATATCAACAGATATGTTTTTATTGGATCACCTGCACAGGGTTTCTAAACCTAAGCATAAACAAGCTACTTTACCCAGAGATGTGCTTCTTAAAGCACATTATTTTCACATTAAAAATCTGCTCCTGAAAAAGAGTCGTAACAAATCTGCTACCTGAGTATGCCGAGATCTGACTGTTCGACGAAATATCAGCGGCAACTTTAAAGCAGCGGAGCTCATTTCAGCAGGGTAACAGAAGTTCTCCGCACAAATCAAATGTCTTACCAGTGTGGGTCCCTACACGCCTAGTGATCACCAGGAATGAACTTCTACAACGATAACATCGCCAGAAGACAGACTAGCACTTTTGAAAAGCTGGTATGTTCCACTGAGCTTGAAGAACAATTGGTTTATATCTTCAAAAACTCACTGAAAAGCTCAGCAAGTATACTAAATTTGCTAAGCTATAATATAATAAGTTTGCTATATTGTATAGGACCAGATATATTGATTGTGTGTTAGTATGAGTATGAGTTATATACAAGAAGTAATACTATATTGTATATAGTTTATAACATAAGCAATGCCAAAAAATCAAAGAAGGTGCTTAGATTATAGATTAGATTAGAAGCAAGGGGATGGTAGTTAACAGCCCTTTTAGCTATATCTAGGCACCTACATGGACTAGCTGGCCCAGACCTTTGACTGTCTACATAGAATCATGCTGAACACTGTCTCACCTTACTTCTATCTGTCAGCTACTCCTGGTGTCAGTAAAAGGGACACTCTATGGACTTTAACCATTTTATCTCATTGAATTTTTTATAGTACCATGTGTCCCCTCCATTCCATGTCAAACCATTTTGAATAGTTTAAAAAAATATTTATTTATTGAATTCCAACCACTTTGGCAATTCTCATATTACCAACACCAAATGTGGAAATATTTGTTTTTTACTTTTTTTAATGTGGAGGCTGGCTAGCAAATGCTGGCCAGCAGACACATAATTAACCCTTGCACTGTCAAGGGTTTTTAACTGTATGTTTGCAGGCAAATAGTACAAAAAAAAAAAATTCCTTTCCCAGATTTGATGCATTTGGACCTGGATTTTGGCCATCTGGCTATGTTCATTCCAGCCAAAATCTGGACCATATTTAGGCCAGTTGGGGACTGAATTGCAAAATCTAGACATTGTTAAATAGCACGAACAATGTCTCGCTTTTGCCATCTAAATGGCCCCATACACAGCTGGATAGTTTTACCCCATTCAGGAGTGCCATTCAGACTTTAGTGAATTATCTTGTAAATAACAGTCCATTGCCACCCACATACTGGCCAGTAATAGAGATATGTTGAGGCAGAGATTACACATACCAAATTACACCAGCAATAGGCAATCTAATGGGCTAAAAGTGTCACTCATTGCTTCTCAATCCAAAGCTTCCTCAAATAGCCCAATCAGCACATAGGAAATGGGCTGCTGGTGATGCTCATTGTCCATTAAAACATTTAAAACAGTTTAAGACTGAATGGAAGGACAGCACCATTAGACCCCAAGCACTATAAACACTTCAATGAGATGGAGCAGTAGCAATGCCTACAGTGTCTATTTACAAACTTCTAGTTCAAGCCCACTGTTCCTGTTCTGAAAAATAACAATTACTATCCAGGTCTATTTTTCAGATATAATTTTGTCTTCCTGGCTGTGATAGTCATTACAACCTGCTCCAAATTATTATGCAAATTCTTTTTAAGTGTCACAAAGATTAAATATTTTGTTTTTCAGTTTAACTCATGGATGGCATTGATCACTGAAAACAATCTCGGACACCTGTGATAATTAGATTCCCAGGTGAGCACAATTTAAGGAAAAACTACTAAAGGAGGGTGTTCCACATTATTAAGCAGAGCACCATTTTCATGCAATAGGGGGAAGAAAAAGAATCTCTCTGCTGCCGAAAAGAGTGAAATAATTCAATGCCTTGGACGAGGTATGAAAACATTAGATATTTCATGAAAACTTAAGCGTGATCATAGCACTATTAAGAGATTTGTGGCTGATTCAGAGCACAGACGGGTTTGTGCCGATAAAGGCACATTGAGGAAGATTTCTGCCAGATCCATGCATCGTATCAAGAGAGCAGCTGCTAAAATACCATTACATAGCAGCAAACAGATATTTGAAGCTGCTGGTGCCTCTGGTGTCCCATCAAGGTGTAGAGTCCTCCAGAGCCTTGCAACTGTGCATAAACCTTCTATTCAGCCACTACTAACCAATGCTCACAAGCAGAAACAGCTGCATTTGGCAGAAAAATACATGAAGACTAATTTTCAGTCCTGTTCACTGATGAGTGCCGTGCAACCCTGGATGGTCCAGATGGATGGAGTAGTGGATGATTGGTGGACGGCAACCCTGTTCCAACAAAGCTGCGATGTCAGCAAGGCGGTGGTGGAGTCATTTTTTGGGCCGGAATCATGGGAAGAGAGCTGGTCGGCCCCTTTAGGGTCCCCGAAGGTGTAAAGATGACCTCTTTAAAGTATGTGGAGTTTCTGACTGACCACTTTCTTCCCTGGTACAGAAGGAAGAACTATGCTTTCCGTAATAAAATCATCTTCATGCATGACAATGCACCATCTCATGCTGCAAAGAATACATCTGCATCAATGGCTGCTATCGGGATAAAAAGAGAGAAAGTCATGGTGTGGCCTCCATCCTCCCCTGACCTCAATCCTTTTGAGAACCTTTGAAGCATCCTCAAGCAAAAGAGGGAGGCAGTTTACATCCATACAGCAGCTCTGGAAGGCTATTCTGACATCTTGCAAACAAATTCAAGTGGAAACTGTCCAAGTTCAATGGATGCAAGACTTGTGAAGCTGCTATCAAATAAGGAGTCCTATGTTAAAATGTAACGTGACCTGTTAAAATGTTTAAAAAGTTAAAATGTTGTTATAAGTTTGATTGAAATAGCCTTTGATTTCAGTAAATATGCTGCAAACACAACAAATGACAATTTTCAGTTCTTTACAACCTATAAAGTGTTTTGAAACTTACTGTGCATAATAATTTGGAACAGTGCATTGTATGCTTTTTATGTTTAAAAAAAGAATACTGTTATCATTGGGAGTTTTGTTCAATAAAATTTGAATTGTACTCTTAGGTAAATGAGAAAAATATAATTTGCATAATAATTTGGAACAGGGTGTAGGAAAGTCCTAGGGATGTATCCTGTGGACAGTTGTGACTTTTAAGATGAAGACTCCATCAATACACCTGTCACTGCGATCAGGTTTCAATTCCAAGACTTAGACACCCAACCTTTTCAAACTGAGCTTCTACAGTATATTTTTCTGCATGCAATACTGTAAACCAAAAGAAAAAGCAAATTTGAAGTACTTCTTTGCTATATGTTTGCTAAGTTACAAAATACACATTAATTTCTTCACAATAACCTGCAGAGCTGGGCAAGTGCTGACATCTCTTCTACAAGAAGATTTTTAGCCATTTCAAAACATGTTATCATCTCCACTCTAGTGAAAATTGCGGAAGCACGAGGGGACCTAAATCGCCTGTGTAATTAATAGTTGACATGGGTCGCTTGACATTTAAAAGTGAACATTTGAAGAACTGCACAAGCCATGATGAGAAAATCAGTACATAGATCTTTACCTCCCTGAACAGTAAAGCTTGGTGTTATTATACAAAGATTCTCTGCGTGGAACTGCACCGGCTTCTCTAAATAGTTGGACTGATGAAAGAAGGCTGTGTACGGAATTTCCAGCAGTGCAAAGAAGAGACTTTACTCAGAACAGAGGTCTTATGTTCAGTAAGGATTCTGCTTCCAATGTGCTCCATTGAGTGAAAGGAAGAGTGCCTGTTGTTTAGAAATGAACACACTTAATAGAGTTGTGTATAAATCATCATAACTAGAGGCTAATGAATGTACAGGGAGCAGGACACCCCACCACATGGCTCATATTAACATCTTTCCTACAAAATACCTAGAGAAGAGTTTCTATGGAATCCTACTACCATCAATCATTCCCATTAACATAAACAATAACAAAAGATCCGGAATGTATCAACCACTGAAAGACATATTAATTTGCTGATTGTACCTGAATATATTTTTTTCCTGAAAATACAAGGAGCAGCAAATTTATTTATTTTTTCACATTGCAAAACTTTGTACATTAATGTTACATTTACAATTGTTGACAGTGAGGAAATTTGTCTCTGCCAAATAATTTTTCAAGACGCCTGAATTTCGGACAACTGTTTGTTCAGCTCTGGAAAAGGTCAGTACTGAAAATCATATTCGTGAACTGAATCAGACAAAGCAATTGAATGCACAAATTGTGTATTAAATGGAAAGTACATGTTTTGTCATATAATGTGAAAACTCAATAAATAATACATACAAAAAAAAACGAAGGTCTGATAAACATATAGTATTATGTCTATACCTGTTAGGAGAGTTTCCTCACTATGTGGCTCACAGATGATGTGAGAAAAAGTTAAAAAAAATTACAAAGGAAATCAGGAGAAGCAATAAAACAAAATCTATCATGTAGATTCCTATCAATCGTCTCTTTCTGTGGTGCCCCGGGCAGAATTCAGAATAATGAACCAAAATGGACATGCTCGGCCATTGCACATTTCAGTTGATTTTGTTATTCAAGTACATTTAGTCTTGGTTTTCGAGAATTTGACCAATCACTAAATCGGCCCAGA